ATTAATTTGTATACAATATACAATTATATATTGTACCAAAGTTGGTAAAATTGACAAGACCTCCTTATATGACACTTATTCCCAAAGCCTTACACACACATGTTAATAAAACATTCTTTGACTCAGTGCTTAGGCCCTGCTGTTATATGTGTGGTTTTGTAATGATCTCGACGATATTTTCTCTAATTGTGATTTTTCAGGCCCTAGTAGCCTTTCCTAAACACTTACTTCCAACTAAGAGAGGAGATGTCATGGATTGACCACAAGATTGACATCTGTAGGTTTCCCAGCAACCTATATATAAGAAGTGAATGACCCTTGAAACAAAGGTCAACTATTGGATAACAATCACTTAATTTTTCCCAAGATGCTTATGTCAGGTTTGCCCTCAGGCGTCACGTGCCTTCATTCACCACCATTGACCAACATATTTAGGTATTCATGTTCAAACATAATAGTATAAAAAATAAAATGGAGCAAGAATAGGGCCGAGAGATGACTCTTCAGAGTTGTACGAATGCATGGCCTTGTAAAGAAAGCCAAAGCAACGCAGCCTCTGAGAACTGAATCATGGCCTGTTCCAGATGCATCTTTGCAGGGATGAAAATTTGGCTCTGACAGGTAGAAGAGAATCTTACATAGCTTTGTGATGATTTAAGGTGAAGAATAGTATCTTGCACTTAGGAGCCCTTAGTAATCTGGACAAAACGAACATCGGTTTTTGGAGTTTACATTTGTGTCCCAAATTTAGCTTTTAAACTTGTCAGATGGTGATCCCACTTTCTAGTTTTTCAGAATTTCTTGAAAAAGTTTATTCAGTCTGAACCATGCCTTACGTGATTATGTAGATTTCTGTCATGATGCCTCTTAGATTTCAACTTTCCAGCTGGAAGTATCTAAAAGTATTGAGATGGTTTCCAATGCTTTTCACTGAAACTTTTCCAGCTTTGTGATCACTGTCCCAGCTGAGGATTGGTGATCACACCAAGCATAGGTCCCTGTGTTTTCAGGCAAATTAACACTAGTTAAAATGGGAATAGAATAGCTCCTGGAGATGGAATTGCCTATGTTTCATATCCTATATCCTTTCTAAAAGGCTTAAAATTTTATTTTAGTCTTCGTGGATAGTAATTTTAGGCCATCTCTAATCTATAGTGTATCTTAGATGCTTTTTCTAATAGTCCAGAGTCCATTATCTTCTGTAGAGTATAATTTCTATTATTTTCTCTAGTTTTTATCTGATACTGTTTAAAGCTTCTGCCCATTCACAGGGCTAATGATATTCTCTAATTTATCCAATTTGCTTTTGCATTTACACTAGGAAAGCTGTTAGGCTATTCCATATATCTAGAGATTTCACAGTGCTCTTTGATTCATACAATTATAGATACCCAACATTTAAACAATTCTGTCCCAAATATGTCCACTCATTGTGCATCCTTTTTTATGAAATCCTGCAGCTCAGCATAAGGAGCATACTCAATCCATTCAGTCTTTTGTTCCTTACTGTGTTTTCTAGTGAAGTAACCATAACATGTTCCCTCGATTCCACAGAGCTGTTTTTAAAAATTATCTTTGCTTTTGATCCATTTAAAAGTTTTGAAAGAAGAAAGTAATGACTGTTTTTCCTTGGTCCACCTGTAGGCCAGCGTACATTTAAGTTAAATAAGTGTGTAGTTATGGTCAAATACAATGATTTTTTTTTTCCCACTGCACTGGAAATTTGTTTATCATCACCAAGGACTACAGAAAGTCTTCTTAGAGTATTCCTGGAAATTCCATATTTGAAATATTCTTTAAACTAACATTTTATTTAGTGCCCACTATCTAAGAGGTGCGGTGGCA